TCTCTAGAGACAAAAGCTATGATTGACTCCCACTGCATTGCCAAGCAGAAAATCAACCAATAAGCAAAGAACCCAAATGGCTGCTTTTTGCCTCTTAAAAGAGAATGAAAGTGTTCTAATTATATTGTTTAGGGCTTACCCTTTTAATGAATTACTCTGAATCTATAATATCTAATTTATGATTGAAATACCCTACAGGCTATTGAGCAAGCAGCTCCCTGATGTTGTAGAAATACTCCCAAAGCCATGTCTCACCTTTTATTTTATTATTATTTTTTGGTACCGGGGATCGAACTCCAGGCCTTATGCTTGTGGAGCAGGCGGCAGAACCACTGAGCTAAATCTCTGGCCCTCACCTTTTATTAACATACAAACTGAAACGGTGTCCTGTGGCAAGTGCTTGTTTGAACTTCTAGAGTTCGGTCTGGGAATGAGGTCCCCAGGTGTCTGTCTCTTGGGTTTCTCTATAAGCTGATAGAGGGGTCTCGCAATCTCACTATATCCTGCTATCTGAAGGCCACAAAAGCCTGTAATTTCTAGGAATGTCCTTAGCTATTTTAGAGTCTTGGGCTGTGGAAAGAAAGAATTGGTTTAATTCTTTCTTCCCCCAGTGTTTGGGTTCCCTTAGATATAATAAGGCCTAAATATTTTACCTCAAGGCTGCAAAGCTGTGCCTTAGATCTAGAAACATTATAACCCCTGTCCGTTAGAAAATTCATCAGAGCAGATTTCTTGGCTAGAAAGCTCTTCTGAGGGGACACATAACAGCATACCATCTATATATTGCAAGACTCTGACTTGGGAAAAACTATAGTATTTTCTTTTATCAAATCAGAATGTGGGGATGTCTTATTTTTCTTGATAGTTGACAATTTAAAATAATTGGGCCAGGGATTTGGCTCAGTGGTTTCGCTGCCTGCTGCGCAAGCGCAAGGACCCTAGTTCGATCCCCGGTACCAAAAACTAAATAAATAAATAAAATAATTGAAGGGGTTACTTCTCATGTTTCTTAGACCTTCAAGAATACATGCCTGAAAATGTCTTCTATTTAATCTCCTATCTGATTGGCAGGCCAGTGGGGGTCTTCCATAGAAATTGCTTGTGTTCTAGTAGAAACTAGTTGTTTCCCTGGCTGCCTGTCTTTTTGAGCTTCCAAAATTAAAATATCTGTCTCTCTATATAGTAGCAGTTTGTAATACTACTTGTCTCTCATTAGAAATCAGTGTTTGATTTAAGAGCAACATTACATCTTTTTAATCTAGTCCATAGGTCTAAGTAAGTCCTCTAAAAACTTCAATGTACATATCAGGATCATCTGAAAACTTCTAAGTCTCATTTGATCTAAGATTACTGAGAGAAAAGGATTACTGAACGCAGGTAGTCCCATATTTGCCATTTTCTTCCTTCAAGGGATAGTGTCTCTGAGGGACCTCAACAACTTAGCTATGGATGGATATAGCCTCAGGGAGGTTAATTATGGCTGGCCTAGAAATTCCACCCTCAGCACCTAATGGTTAGGGTGAGGAGTAGCCTTAGGCTTAGAGGTACTGAATACCTCAATGGCAAGGTGTCCCTCATTTTTCTATGGCCCACATTTAAATTTGAACACAAGCATTACTTTTTAATGTAAAGAAAATCTCAACAAGAGATTATTTTGACCATTTCCTCTCTTTTACAGTATAATTCTAATTGTGAGGTAGCATCATAGTACTTTTCTCTGTGTACTTGGCTTTAGGAGGTAGGCACATCTCAGGCAGATGTAGAGAAATACTAAATTGCTCCTTGATATATTCCAAAGGAGTAAGAGGTTCAGATATAGAGTCCCAATTTGAAAGAAGAAAAACAAATATGGCATCCCATTAGTCTCTGCTTGATTCCTGTGCCCCCTAGGGCATCCCCAGGGCGTCCCCCAAGGTTTACACCACTCCAAGGTAGGTAGCTACCCTCTGGAGAGAGAATCAGAAAATAAAACCGGACTGGACTATCTACCCTTTACCAGCACTCAGTCTTAATCTTTCTCAGGTAACTCATATCCTTATTCCAGTAGGTAATCTTAAAGTGCAAGTTACAATTGACTTCGGGCATAATAATCATGTTTAGAGAACGAAGTATTTCTAGCAAACTGAGAGATTTAAACCTCTGCTATCTAGTTCAGTCAACAGTCAAATTAGGGCACTTGTCCTGCTAAAGAGATCACCTCCGGAGATGGTAAGTCAGAGATTCCGCCCTGGGCCCTAGGGCAGAGAAAGCTCTGAGACCTTTCTGTTGTCTATCCAGTCATTTAGGCAACTTTTATTAGCAGCAGTACAAGGCTACTCCTTTAAGGTCCATTTTAAATTCACCAAGTATTTGAAACTCATAGGTCCTCATAGGGGCCACAATCTACATTGTAAAGGAACTCTTTATCAACTTCCTACTCCTGTGCATGAAGGAAGAGAAGGGCCGAAATAGTCCCATAGTCTATTTAGCATATAAAAACACAAATGCAAGCTACTGATTGTTATTTTCACTAGTGCAAGACAAAACAGTTGTTTTGAGTTGCCTTAGTCTGACTTTCTGGAAGGAGGAGTGGTCTGACTGGTAGGAATTCTGAAATGAACTCCCAATGAGTTGGAGAAAAGTTTAAGGGGAATTTTTAACTAACTAGCAAAGAGGAAAAAGTCCAAATAAAGCTCAAGCTGGTTAAACATCCAAAAATCACCATATAGCACTCTACAAGTCCACAGTCACAGTTCCAAAGTCCGTAACCTATCAGAGAAGCCAGTTTTCTCCCCTACAAACATAAATGATGAAGACCATGCCTAGGGGAGAGAAAAGATTCAGGTAGTTTTTACTCTATCAAAGATTTGTTTTGTACAATTGTCTAGAGGTCTTACTAGTAGTAGAGAAAGCAGTCCAAACCTGTAGCGCAACTCTTAACGGAGGCTTAAGAAAGGGCTCTGAGACATCATTTCAGATCACCCTGGGACAGAGGATATCTGATGATCACAGACACAGTTTCCCTTTCACCTCACTGAGGAGTCCAGATAGGGACAAGATGTGGAGATTTCCTGCTGATTACCTGGATGGGCTGTTGGGAGCCAGTTGCTTCTGAGGGACCTTTGGGTATCCACCAGAGAGTAGCCTTGGCCTTGACCCCTCAGTTGTCACCTCAGGTTCTGCTAGTTCCACGCAATCAGAGACCTGTCTCTGAAAGGAACCCAACTGCCTATCTTGTCAACATGCCACCCACCACTGGTATCAATGGGAGTGGGGATTCACCAGAGGGCAACTGGAGAAACCTGTCCTCTGCTTTGAGAGTGGCAGCTGCCCTAAAGGCAATTGCTAGCTGGCACACTAACCACTGTTTGCCATTCTGTGAGGGACAGGGAAAAGCCTGCACTGTCTTTATCTGAGTCGATTTCATAAGAGACCCGTTTTACAGCATTTTTGAGCAACTAAGTCCAAATGCAACACATACAAAACAAGAATAAAATGTAATTTTAACAAAAGACAATGCATAAGAACAAGACATTTGTAAACATTTAAAACACACTGCTTAAAATTAAGACACTTTTGAAACAAAAGCCAAAGCAAAGGCCAGAATTTATGGAACAAAACTCAGAATCTATAGAACAAATGTCCAGAGCCTTTGAAATTAATAGTAACAATCTGTGAAGCAAGAAGACCAAAGTTAGAACCTATGAAAGAAAACTTACCTCTGACCAGTAATCTCAGTAGAAGACCTCCAAAATGATATAGAGGGAAGAGATGGAACTCCCAAACCTACTAGATATCCAAAACACTAGTTTGTGTTCTCTAAACTTGAAGAATGAATTCTAGGAACAACAGAGGTTAAGAGTAGGAAAAATTTATTGAGAGAAAGAAAGCTTCTGCCTAAGAGAGACAGAAGGGGGATCGGAAAGTGGGTTGCCCCTTGGCTAAGTTTTTAAAAACTTTTCTATGTTAGAAAAAATGCCACATTAGTAAGTTAAAGAAGCACGTAAACATTCAGTTTGATTACATTTTTCCTTGTGGCTTGGAAATAATAGGCTTTTATTTCTATTCTGTTAATTCTTTTTTTTTTTTTTGCAGAACCGGGGATTGAACTCAGGACCTTGTGCTTGCCAGGCAGGCACTGGTGCCACTGAGCTAAACCTCTGGCCCATCTATTCTGTTAATTCTTGAATCATTATCGTTATTTCATGCAGTCAGTATTTGTTTATATATGTTTGTCATAAAGTTTCTCTTTATTGTGAAAGTTTATATAGTGTAATGACTAAGAGAATGAATTCTGGATTCAGACCACCTGGGCTCACAATCAAAGTTCTCCATACCTAAAATTGAAATGTAAAATAGACATAGTGATAGAACCTTTTCGCCAAAGAACTTCTCTACAGAGTTCTTTTAATAAAGCTCTGGTTGTATTATCTTTTCTTTTACTCTTGTTCTTAAAAGTTGATTTTTCTGAGCACATACTCTTTTTTTTTTTTTATTGTACCACGCATTGAACTCGGGACCTTGCGCTTTTGAGGCAGGTGCCGGAACCACTGAGCTAAATCCCTGGCCCCTGAGTGTATACTCTTGATAACAGTTATTTTATTTTGTTGCTTTGAATTAATTATTCTTGTTTTGTTTCTGTTTTTGCAGTTGAGAAGTCAGGAATAGTCTAATTATCTTTCTTGTGATATGCAGTCTTTGTCTTTTTGTCAGATTGCACTGATACAGAAATTATACCATCTATTTCTAGGCATCCCCTCTCCCACCGTACAATAAGCAGATAATCTGACTTTGATCACCAACCATATCTGCTTTTCTTAATAGTGTGTTTTATGGTGCTGAGAATCCCTAGGGCCTCTTGCATGTTAAGGAAGCCCTTTGAGCTACATGCCCAGCCTCATAGACTGTTCTTTAAATGTAATGTAATTTAAAAAAAAACTTTTTCTGAATGTCATATATTAAGCCTTTTGTTGGGTGACATTTTTCATGTTACTTTTCTTCTTGTGTTTTTCTTTGTAAAGGAGTGGACCTACCCTATGAGACGAGAGATGCAGGTATGGCAATTTCTTATTTGTTCAAGTCAACCCATATTATTATATAAATAACCTAATTTCATGAATGATTTGAGACCTGTTGGCATATGATTTGTAGGTTCATCATTAAGTTTTTTAAATGACTTTTTAATATGTGTGTGTGTGCGCATGCTTACTGAGTCACTTTTTTAAATCTGAAAAATGGAATACTGAATTTATATTCCTTTTTGAAAGCAGTTTGCTGTTTGTCTGGTGTAGATCATCGGTTCAGGAGTGTTGACTGTAAAGCAGATCAGACCAGTTGTTCATTTTTGTGTCTGTCCATCCATCCATCCATAACTAAGTCCCCAAAAGAGTACTTTCAATTTAGAGTGAATTAAAGTGATAACCAGCACTCATAGTTGGTTGCTTTTCTTTTTCATTTTCTATAATTCCATGCAGTCTGCATGGCTCATCCCAGGAACAAGCAATGTCTCTCATTCCCCGGGATCTCTTTAACTTTTAAATATGTATCTTTCTCTCAGTGAAAATTAACTTTTAAGAAAATATCTGAGTACATCTGAGGCATTTTATTTGATGTTATGGGGCATGCAGAAATGAGTAAAAGGTAATTTCTGAGTGAAAGAACCTGATGGGTGAAACCAGTCCCCTATGCCAGAAACTATATAATCATAATAATAGAAATTAACTATAGATAATAGTTCTGATACTGTTGTATCTTGTACTTTTGATAATTCTAAAGCAAAGATTTTCTTCACACCTGTTTAATTTTTAGAACATAGAGAGTAGAAGTGATATTAGGGAAGTCTAATCTAAAAGCAATGATGCAATGTGTTCTACTGGAACTGCTTATAAAAAGCACTGTGGAAGTTCAAATATCAGACTTTTCAGAACTACATTTGAACTTGGAATACCTCCCTTAACATTGTGAAGCACGTCTTCATTTCTCTTCCCAGGCATTTGCTCGGTGTAGCTAGGAAATGCTCCCCAAATGACAAAATTTTAAGCAAATTATTATAACTGAAAATACCCCACAAATCCAGTGATGTGGTGCATATTTGGTAAAGATTGAAATTGCTAATGGTGATTTTTTTTTTCTCTCTCTCCTTAGGAAATTTTACCTGGATTGTTCTTGGGCCCATATTCTTCTGCTATGAAAAGCAAGGTATGAACTTTAGGTTAGGTTCACCAAGAGACTTTAGTAACCAGCTTTCTCCGGTAAGTTTTTTAGTAATATGATTTTTATTTTAGGGAGCATTCACAAATACTGTGTAATAACAATAATTATCACTATATAGTATCTGCTTACTGGACCAATGAGTCTTAAATGTTTCATCACAAATGAAGGTTTTTATTTTCTTTGTAGTACCAGAAATTAAACCCAGGGCTTGTTGTGCTATATCTCCAGGCTTTTATTGATTTATTTTTTGTTTTTAAATTTCTTTGTTTTGTAGTGCTGAGGACCAAACCCAGAACATGCTAGGCAATGCTCTACTATAGAGCTACACCCCTTGCCCTGTTTTTTGTTTTGTTTTGAGACAGGATCTCACTAAGTTGACCAGGGTAGGCTCGAACTTGCTGTTTTCCTGCCTCAGCCTTCCCGAGGGCTGGGATGACAGGTATACCCTATCACACCTACAAATGAGGTTGTGTATTCTATTTTTCTCAGGAAATTTATGAGTTTGAAAGATTTACCAATCAAGCCAAGCATGTTGGTACACATGGGAATCTCAGCACTCTGTGAGGCTGAAGTAGGAGGACAAATTTGAGCCTAATATAAACAATTTAGTGATTTAGTGAGACCCTGTCTCAAAAAAAGAAAAAAGGGTTAGGGGTATAGCTCAGTGTGAAGGCCCTGGGTTCAATCCCCAGTTCTGCAAAAAACAAACAAACAAAACCTAAAAGGAAGAAAGGCAAATAGGTTAACCAAAAAGATTGACATTTAATAATTTATTTACTCTCTAAAAGTATTAAACATCTGTGATTGTTAATTATAGCTTCTGAATGATATGCGATACAATTAAACCCCAAAATACAGAAATTTAACATTTTAGTTAACCTTTCTCTATCAAGGGTAAGTGTATGTGGTTTTTGTTTTGTTTTGTTTTGTTTTTTGGTACTGGGCATCGAACTCAGGACCTTGCACTTGTGAGGCAGGCACCGGAACCACTGAGCTAAATCCCCGGCCCAAGTGTAAGTGTTTTTAATTGAAAGTGATTCCTCTTATTTCTGTTTTTCCAGATTTTAGAAGTCTTGAGTAATCCAGGTTGGAAAGCATTGTAATATATAGATTCTATGTAGTCAAGCTGTAATAGACTTTTTCAGTTGCACAGTTAAAATGGGAAGATCTGGTTTTGATATGTATAGCAATGTTCATGCCACTCCCTAGAGGATTTAGCTCTATGAATTATGACAGTGGTACTTACTCTCTTTGAGTTACAGTGTGAAATGTGGTGTAGCAGTTGTCTTCCCTAATAGCTTGCATATTCAGAGGTCACTGTACTTGTGTTTGGTATCTCCATGATATAATTTGTGCAAGCGAAGTTTAGGTGATTGGACACTTTTCAAAAAGTGATAGCTCTTGAGACTGGAAGGTTTATTGATGGTTGGGCATGACTGAGAGTAATCCTAGTCATTTGGATGACTGACAACTAGGTTGGAAATATGGGGTGCTTGTAACAATAAGCATTAGGGAAGGGATCAGACAAAGTAATATAAATGTGACTGTGATTTTTATAAAGGACAAATGTAGGGCCAGGGATTTAGCTCAGTGGTGCCGCTGGCTGCCTCACAAGCACAAGGTCCCGCGTTCAATTCCTGGTACCAAAAAAAAAAAGACAAATGTAAACAAAATTATTTCCCAAATAACCTACTATTCACCAAATACTACCCTTCAAGATGACTTTAGTTTGCTTTTTTATTCCCATTGCACTATCTCCTCAAAACCTCCTCCCTCACAGTTTTAACTTGGTCTTCTTAAATTTGAGAAAACTTCTATGGCAGTGTTCTCTGTCCCACCCTGAGTCACTGTAATGCATATTTCTTTCATATTTCTTTCCTTACCATCATCCCCAAAAAATACCTTTCAACAACAGCAAAACAATGCTGAAGAGAAACCTTTGGGAACAAATGCTTTTTGACAAATACAGATTAAGTAAAGGGGACAAATTTAGCTTCTTGATAAATAGTGAATTATTTCTTTTATAAAATTTTTCCATTTATAGTTATAAGGTAAGGTCATGATTTGCTTTATATAAACAAACTATTGAAAGATAAAAAATACTCTGCTACTACTTTGATTTCTATTTTGGTAAGATTTGCTTTACTCAGTAACGGTCTAAAGTGCCTTTAAAGCTTGTTAAAACAGGTTTTTGTATGTCCTCTGGTAGTTTCTCACATTAATAAGGTAGTCTGAAAACTCTCCTATAAGTAAGTGTAAACAAAGGAATGAAGGTTGAATTAATTAGAATTACCTCTAAGGTTGGCATAAATGTGAATATAGAACCACTCATTAATTATTAATCCTACCAAATACTTTTCTTGCTCTAACTCAGGGTGTACTTAGGAAACAAAAGATAGTTAGCTCTCATCTATGTTGACATATGAAAGTTTGCTGCAACAATTAACATTTAAAACTTCTGCAAATTATATTGTTGTAATCCATTCAGGCTACTCTAAAAATGCTGTGGACTGGATGGCTTCAATAGGCATTAATTTCTTACACTTCTGGAGGCCGGGAAGTCAGTCGGTCCTGTTCTGGTGAGAGCCCTCTTCTGGCTCACAGGCCCTGCCTACTTGCTACATTCTCATATGGTCAACAGAGCAAGTCCTTGTCTCTTTTTTATCCCTCGGGGAGGTTCTACTTCATGTCCTCATTGAAGCTGAATTATCTCCCGAAGGCCAGCCTCCTAATACTACACTGGAAGTTCACCGTATAAATCTCGGGAAGGGGGCATGAACATTCAGTTCATAACACATATGAATTAATGACTTCTGTCATGAGTTATTAGTACTGTTCTGGTTTATTTCATACAGAAAGTGGGAATTAAAATATGTAGAATTATAAGTTGAAGGTATTATAGAAAATGCAGAGTTCTTCTGACTTCTCATGCCACATGATTTGCTCATGTATTGGGCAAATAATTATTGGACTTACCTGTGCTACACAATTTTATTTTATTTTTTTTGGTACCAAGATCGAACTCAGAACCTTGCACTTGCAAGGCAGGTGTGGTGGGCTACTGAGCTAAATCCCCGGCCCTGTGGTATAAAATTTTAAATTATTATCGTGTATAATTGTAACAGCCAGCCAGTTAATAGGTAGCATTTTCCCATTCTCCTACAGTGCAACTAAGAATGAGGTCAGGCTCTTAGCAGGACTGAGGTTTGTAGCTTGAATCCTCGTGATTCCAAATCCTGTGCTTTTAACCACTATGTAATGCTGTTTTCCAAGTAAATTGTTTTTAAGATCTCATTGAGCTCTAGAATTATAGACATGAGATATCCTTGTTAGCCCTTTGAAGACAATGAATGTATTAATCTTGAATCATTGAACTCTCTTGCTGATGATTTCAGATGAATTATCATAAAATTAGCTTTAATCCTCTGTGCTTGGCTCAGAAGTAGGTCCTGTGTATTTTGGAGTGTATTACAGTAAAATGATTTGTATTTTAAACTGTTTCTCTTCCCTGTCTGCTTTCTCTTTTTTTTTACAGCTGCCTATACTACAGAAACATGGAATAACTCATATAATTTGCATACGACAAAATATTGAAGCAAACTTTATTAAACCAAATTTTCAACAACTATTTAGGTAGGAATCATTGCTGTGATTTATAAAAATATTGAGGATAGTAAACATGTAATCTAGTTTTTGCTTCAACTTCATTTTATACAATAGTCTGTGTGTATTTTGTGAAGGTGGGCTGTGTGGTACATAATTTTTGATTTTTTTTTCCATTAACTTTATTGGTACATTTTAGGTGTACAGTACAGTTACCATTCATCATTGGGATCTTGTACCTGTGGTACATAATTTTTAAAATAAAATTTATTTTGAATGTTTAAATCATTTTCATAATGCAGAATTTAAAGGTTTAAAAGAATATGTATTAAAAAGTAGGCTTTCCTTTTGTTATCTCCTAGATACTCAGTTCCTATACCTAGAGGAATCTGCTGTTAATGCCTTATTGAGTAATTGAGTAGCTTTTCAGGGTTTTATACAAGCTTTTTTTTCCTCTTTTTTTTCCTTTTTGTGGTACTGGGGATTGAACCAAGGGCCTTCACACTGAGCCACATCCCCAGCACATATTTAATTTATTTTGAGACAAGGTCTCCCTAAGTCACCAAGTTACTAAGGCTCGGCTGGAATCCTGCTTTGGGCTCCTAGAGTGTTGGGATTACAGTTGTATGCTACCATACCCAGCAAAAAACATTCATAGAGATGAACTTTGGTTTTCACACTTAATTTTTCAACTTAATTTTTTGGAGATTGCTTCATATCAGTATTTATAAAGCTGTAGTATGACTATACTAAAATAAGTACAGTTGAATATCTAATGGTTCTTAAGTATTATTTTAAATTCATTATTAAAAGGATATATTACACATAATTAAAGGTAAAAAGGTACATAAGCCACCTCAGTTTTATCCTGGGAGGCAGCTACTGTTGACGCTTCTTGAGTACTTTTCTAGAGATATTCTATATCTGTATAAAAGCATCTGTTAAAAACATTTTAATGCTTCCCTCTATTGTTTATAAAAATGAATACAGGCTGGGCATGGTGGCACACACCGGTAATCCCAGCCCTCTAGGAAGCTGATTAAGAGGATCACAAGTTGGAGCCCAGCATGGGCAACTTAGTGATTAAGTGAGACTCTGTCTCAAAATGAAAATAAGGATGTTGCTCATTACAAAGGCCCTGGTTCACTTTCTAGTACCACAAAAATAAAAAGCAAATAATGCAATCTATAAATATCTATAAATACAATGTACTCCAAAATATACTGCGTAAACATACAATAGAACACTATGCAACCATGAAAAAGAATGGAGTATATCTTTATGTGATGATTTGATATGATCTTCATGATTAAGTACATGAAAAAAACCAGTGTAGAACCAGATTAAATTCCCAGTGTGTTAAAAAGTATATGTATGCATTGAAAATTTCTTGACCAGCGGAGTAGAAACTTCACAGTACAGTAGATGCTTCTGAGAAGAAAAATTGAGGGTCTAGAATGATAAAAGGATCTACATTTCTTTGTATATACTTTCACAGTGTTTGTTTCTTATCAAGATGGGACCTTGCTACATTGCCCAGGCTGGCCCCCTGCTCCTAGGCTCCAGTGAACCTCCTGTCTGAGCCTCCTCAGTAACTGGAACTACAGACCTGTGCCACTACCCCAACTACACTGTTACAGTTATTTTGTTTTGTTTTTACTTGTGAAAGAAGTACTTACCTTTCTATCTTTGGAGACATATAGAATGATAACAAGAAAAATATTTAGCAACCATTCATAATCTACAATCCAGAGAAAACTCTAACATTTTGGTATATTTTTTTCTAAATCTTACTGTGTTCCATATTTGTACTGTGTGTACACACGTTTATACACATGTATGAAAAAGGAAATCAAAACCAGGGTTTGTACATCCTTAGCAAGGGCTATAGTACTGAGTCACATTTCCAGGCCGAGAATGTTGTACTTTAAAATGTAATGCTTCCATGCCTGTAATCCCACTGTAATCCCAGCACTTGGGAGGCTGAGGCAGGAGAATCACCATGGAGTTCCAAGCTAGCCTGGGCTACACAGGGAGACCCTGTCTCAACCCTCCCCTCCACCCTGAAAAAAAAGTCATGCTATTCATTTCTGACTTGTATAGAATATTGATTTTTCGTAAAGAACTGTGCCGAGTGCTAGATCTTTATCCTAATGAAGAACCATTATTCCTCAGACTTACTGATGTTGGCTTCTTACAGATTGATAATTCTAGTAGCTCTTAGTATTCAAAATGGTGTCCACAGTTAGGTCTGCCCAGTTACTTAGGATGCAGTCATTGTCACAATCCTCGTGGTTTATATATTGGACTTTTCCTAAATCCTGTTTTAACCTCTGTGTATTAAGCCCTGAATTTTCTGAAGTTTCTACCTGAAAGATCACTGAAGAATGTATTCAGAACTTTTTTGTATTTTCTATGTCTCCTCTTACCTAGAGGAAAGTTTCTTTCCTGCTAGTTATTTTTCTGTTTTAACTAGATGGATTTTTTTATATACTGAAATATCCGAGAAATGTTAACATGTTAAGGGTTTAAGTACTATTCCCTCAGGCGATATATAAATCTGTGACCCAGTTCTTGGATATGTGATACTTTAATAATTATTTTTGTGTTCTTTTCATGATTACCAAGAAATACTCAAAGTTTTTTTTAATATATGAACATTTTATCTGAAAATGCTTATCACACATGTTCTATTTTCAGATATTTAGTCTTGGATATTGCAGATAATCCAGTGGAAAATATAATACGTTTTTTCCCTATGGTAGGTATCAATATTTTAATATCATTTAAAATTTATTTATGATCTGACCTCTTGATTGTCCTAAAATTTTCTACTTTTACTTTGTTATCTAACAATTGCAGGGTTACTTTTTTTAAAAGGCAATAAATTATTTGTAGAAGGCTTTTCAAATTAAGTTTAGCTTCTACGCAATTTTTAAAAAAACTTTTAATAGTTGTATTTGTAGCATTTTGGAAATCTTGAATTAAGATAATTTTTATTCCATAAGTTAGCAGGGATTTGTTTCCTGTAGATTTTATTTTCTCAGTGTTTTATGCTTATGATAATCTACATATTATAACATTGTCTTTTTGCCTTCAGACTAAGGAATTTATTGATGGGAGCTTACAAACTGGAGGTAAATCATATTTCTTATATTTAGCTAGTGTTTATTTTTAGGAGGTTCTTTGTATAGTTATATTTTAGTTGGTAATTTTCCTAAATCCAGGATGTGGAAATTGTAGTTACATATATTAGAATATTCCCAAATTTATATTTTGCCAACTATTGATTTCATTTAGATAAGCTTTTTGAAATAATCTCTATATTACTATGTTCAAATTCTTTGTGAGGTTCACATTTCTGTAAAAGTCTGTTGTATTTCTATATAATTAAAGACTTGAAAATTAGTAAATACCCTACTGGCATATATATGATAGAAAATGTTTAAGGAAAGACGGCTGTGGCTTGAAGTGGTCTCAGTGTATCTTAGTTACTTTTCTCATTGCTGAGACAAAATACCCGATACCCAAAGTCAGAGGGGAAACAGCTTATTTAGCTCATGGTTCATAGAGGTTTCAGTCCGTAATCGGCTAGCTCCAAGGGAGTGTGGCACATGGCAGAAAGGCAACAGTTCATGGTGGTGGAAGACAGCAAAAGCAGCAAGGGACCTTAACAGTGTCTTTCTGCCCCTTTCATACTCTGTCTAGGGTACTGTTATTAGGGCGGTGGCAAAAATCAGTGGACTGATTCAGTAACCACACACCTTTAATCCCAGCATCACACACTCTAGATTCAGCCACCCCTGAAAAAGCCCCATCTAAGTCCGCATTAGGCTTTGGGGGGATATCTAGACACAAACCATCACAGTATATTTCAGCCACTGGCTTAAGTGTTTTTCTGAGAATAACCATTTTTTGTTTTTTCAGGAAAAGTTCTTGTCCATGGAAATGCAGGGATCTCCAGAAGGTAGGAAGTTAGACATAATCTTTCTTTTTCCACTATTTAATTAATGAGTTGTTCTCTAAAATTTTTCCCCTTGTTTCTTTAGTGCTGCCTTTGTTATTGCATACATTATGGAAACATTTGGGATGAAGTACAGGTAAGCAAGTATATTAAAACCCAGCCACAGTTTAAATTCTCATTAAAATGAAGTTTAAAAGAAATAGGTATTTGAAGTTAGTGCTTGCTTTATTAAAAGGCTAACCTTATGTTTTATTTATTAATTGTTGAGTGAAAAATGACTTAGAAATTGGATAGTCTTATCGAAAATAATCTTTTCCAAGCATAATACATAGATTTCTTTAAAAGATCTTTTTGACCCAAAACAAAGCAAAAACCTAGCTAGTATTCAATATTACCTTTCTGTTTGTCTTGTATAAGTTAGAAATTTATCATCGACACCTTTGTGTTTCACTCCCAAATGGAAAATTTTGCTTTGAAAGTAACAGTTTGTAAATATTATTTTAATTCAAATACTTTGCTTATTAAATGGAAAAAGATTTACCATGCAGTGTGTACTTTACATTATATATATATATATATATATATTTTTTTTTTTTTTTCTCTCTGTATTATTTGGAATGTTGTCCGTAAGGTAATGAAAATAACTTCCTTTAATTCCACTGTAGCCAGTACTGATTGTTCCAGGCACTTTCAGCTTGTTTAAGCCTCACAACAACACAGGGTGTTAGCTTTTCATTTAACCAGTGATAATATGTTGAGCATGTACTGTATAACAGGTGTATTACAAGCATAAAGTGCTTTACTCTTTTTTCTCATCTTCACAATAGTCTTCCAAAAGAAATATTAAAATACTCATTTTACCAATGAAGCTGGGACAAATTGAGTCTGGAAAATGAGATTAATTTGTGAAATAATGCTTTTTCATTAATTTTCTTTTCCTTTTCAGAGATGCATTTGCTTATGTGCAAGAAAGAAGATTTTGTATTAATCCTAATGCTGGATTTGTCCATCAACTTCAGGTAAGTACTCTCCTCTTTCTCCTTAAGGCACTCAGAATGTAAAGTCTTTTGTCCTTGTCACTTAGATGTAGAATTTAGAATTTTCATAACCATGATTTGGTTATTCTAGTTTACATTTGTATTAAAAATATTTTTAAAGTTATGGTTAATAGCAGGTACAGTTATACATGCTTGTAATCCCAGCTCCTGGGGAGGCTGAGGCAGAAGGGTCAAAAGTTTAAGGCCAGCTTGGTCAACTTTGTCAAATGCTTTCTCAAAATAAAATTTTAAAAAGGGCTGGGGATGTAGCTCTGTGGTAGAGAGCTTGCCTCACATGCTGTAGACCCCAGGTCTAATACCTGGTACAAAACAAAACAAAACACAACACAAATTGTTAGGAAGAAAAAGGAGTTGAAGGCATATTGTTAGATCCAAGGTAAAATAAAGCATACTAGTGTTTGAATTTTAAGTACACACTGAACATCCCTAATTTGAAAATCTAAAGTCTGAAATGCTCCACCATCTAAAACTTTTTGAGTGCTGCTACGTGAATTACAGATGATCAGCCAGTAAAGCCTATGCAAATATTCTAAAATCTAAAAAACTCCAAAATCAGAAACATTTCTGGTCTGAAGCATTTTGGATAAGAGGTACTTAACCTATGTTCCAAATACAGCAGCCTTTTTAATTTTGTGTGTTCTATCTTTTGTATGGTATTTCAAATTTTGTTGACACCCAGCAAATGTACTAACTACATATTTCTTTGTTTTTTTTGCCTGGTTGTGTAAAAACTTTTTTTTAAAACAAATTTTTATATTTGAAAAAGTAATATAGGCTTATGGTTAAAAATAATTCAGCAGTGCTTAAGAATACAATGTAAGTAAGTCTCTTTAATTTTCTATCTTGAAGATATTTTGTAATACACAGTTAATTGGTCACATAACATTTTGGTTAGCAACAGAATAGAATACATGTAGGACATGGTGCCATGGTTTATAAGAGCCTTGTCTATAAAGGAAACTTGTCTTTAGAACACTGATTTGACTTGGCTATGTTAGCTTCCCATCATTATAACAAATATCTGAGCTAAGCAACTTATGAATAGGAGAGAATGTTGGAGGCCCTGGTCTGTGACTGATTGGCCCTGGTAGCTTGGGGTGGTGGTGAGGCACCCCACCACGGTAGTGTGTGGCAGAGCAAACTCATCTATGTCACCAGCCAGAGCAAAGAAAACAGAATGGGGCTGGTTCCCACAAACTTATTCAGGGTGCACCTCCAGTTATCTAAGTATAGTACTTCCTGCTAGGCCTCACCTCTCAAAAACTCCACCACCTCCCAGTGGTGCCACTGCAGGACCAACCCTTAACCTGTGGGCACGAGGGAGACATTTATGATCCAAACTGTGGCAGTGCCACTTTTGTTACAGTCCATATGGTCATCTATATTTGGGGCTGTTTCTGGACTCTGTTCTCTTCAGTGGATCTGTTTTATTGCTGTACTTGTGTGGAACAGGGTTTTGGTTTGCTTAATTTTGTTTTATTTTGTGACAGGGTCTTGCTGTTTTACCCAGGTTGGCCCCAAGTCCCTGGGTTCAAGCATTCCTCCTGCCTGAGGCTCCTAAGTAACTGGGATACTAGACATGTACCACCATGCCAGCCCAGTTTCAAATACTGTGATTTATTTTTTTTTTCCGGTACCGGGGATCAAACTCAGGACCTTGTGCTTGGGAGGCAAGCACGGTGCCACTGAGCTAAATCCCTGGCCCTCAAATACTGTGATTTTATATAAATAATGTATGATATTTGCTCAAGATTCTTTCATTAATGTCCTTTCCAGAATTTTCCTGGTGAGTTCTTATTTGGTATCACCTTTACTGGGAGGAATCTGAGGGTTTTTGGGGGTTGTTTTTGGTTTTTTGTCATGAGATTTTCTATGTTGCCCAAGCTGGCCTTACTGAGAAAGATGTTTGAGCTGACATAAATCATGAAGCTATTTAGGGGAAAGCATTCTTGGTGGAGGGAATAATAACTGGAAGTGCCTTGAAGTTGGCATACGTATGGTGCTTTCAAGGCACTGTGAGATTGTTGTGGCTGGAACAGAATAGGCAAATGAGATAGTAAGGGATTAGAGAGAGCTGAGAGGGATCCCTGTAAGTAAAGAAGTAAAGTCTTTCAGTTTTCAGTGGCAGAATGAGTCTTATAAGATCATTCTGGCTGCTGTCTTGAATGTAGGGTACAAAAACTTGAGAAGGACAGAAACAAGTAGACCAGATAGGCTATTGCTATAATACAGTGGGAGACTACTGAGTTATAGCAAAGTGGCAGCAGGGGAAGAGGTGAGAAAAGATCAGGTTTGAAGGTACAGAGGTCAGGATTTATTACTTGTTTAGATACACGTTCTAAAAGGGAGAGGAAAAAGCTGAATCTAAGTTTAGTGCAGCGGTGCATATCTGTGACCCCAGCACTGGAGGATCAAAAGTTCAAGTCTAGCCTGGGCTACCTAGCAAAACCCTATCTCAAAAAATGTATTAAGGCTGAGGATGTAGCTCAGTGAGAAAGCCCTGGGTTCAGTCCCAAATACTAACAAAATAAGAAAGAAAAAAGAAAGTCTAGGCCTTTTACCTGAACACCTGGAAGATCAGTCACTCCTTAATTAGGAAACTACATTAGATTAGGAGATGGTTTACATATAGAGAGCTTGAGAGGGGCTGTCAGGAAGTAGGCGGGAACATATAAGTGAAGTTCAAGAGAAAGAATCCTGTGTAGGGATTGCCAGTATACAGATGTTATTGAAAGCTCTGGAACCGGATGAAATCACTAGGAATGAGTGTAGATGAAGAAGAGTTCAAAGACAGAACCCTATGCACTCAGACCTGTAAGAGGCTGGTAAGATGAATTAGCAGGAGCTTGATAAGGAAAGGCCAGCAAGGTAGGAAGAAAATCAGGACAGGCTGCTGTCTGAGATAGATGTCAGGTGAAGACAGTGTTTTTTACAAAGCAGGAAGTGATTCACTGTCAGAACCTGAGGTCCTTGATTGCCTCGATAAAGTTCTTGTGGAGTTGAGGAGGGTAAGTGTAGTTGCAGATTGTTCCAGAGAAAATGGCAAGAGAGAAATTTCAGCAAGAATAGTCAATTCTAGGAACTTTGCCTTGAAAGGGAAAACAGAAATGAAATAGTGACTGGAAGATTAAGAACGCTTTACTCAGATAGGAGGAAGTTCAGCATTTTCTGCATGCTGATTGGAACCCAGGAGAAGGGAGAAACTAGTATTTTGCCACAGTTGTATGGTATGGTCTAGTCTCCTTTGTTGATTCTATTATTCATTGTTTCTATGGGTTTTTCCCTCTCTTCCATTTTTTTTTTTTTGGTACTGAGGATCGAACTCGCTTCCTTGTGCTTGCAAAGCAGGCGGTGGGACCACTGAGCTCTCTCTTCCATTTTTTTGTTGAATTTGGATGCTGTCATGTCTGTTATCATAGGCCTTCCATGAGCCCTTTTATCTCTTCTTTGAATTAACTTTAGAAATTCCATTGACTTCGCTTGAGCTGCCATAACAGAATACCATAGACTTTGTGATTTAAAAACAAATTTATTTCTTACAGCTCTGGAGGGTGGGAAGTCCAAAATCAGTGTGCCCACCAAAGTGCCTCAGGTGATTGTCTCATATAGTCAGGCTTTAGGTTTACCCCTTTAGAGGCCTTTACTTTTAGCTGAGCAAGATCAGCAGATGACAGGCGACATGCAACCAAGATTCTCTTCCACCTTACTACACCTGATAGCCTGCTTCTTGCAAAAATGGCAAGCGTGGGTGTCCCGTTTTCCTTAGTACGCCACCCCTCTTCTCAGAGCTTTCTTGTACTGAACTCACTGTCTTAGCGTTCATGGGCTTGTTGGAGCTGTCGTAAATCTGCTACCAGTTTTGGAAAGTATGAACTGTACCTGCATTGCCTGAGAAAGTTGGAGAAATAAGCATCTTATGTGCCTAGCTTAGTCTGTTTCCAGTTTTTAAAAACTTTATTACAGAAGATAATATACCCATAGAGAATGTATAAAATATAAATAAACATCTCTGTAACCTAGACCCCAAATTTCCTCTCCATGCCCCTTCCCCGGCACAACTCTTTCTTTCCTGAAGGTAACTATCAACCTGGCCTGTCTCCTAACCCTTTCCTTAGTTTTCTTCTCATTCTTTTCCTAGTCAACTTAGGGATATTTCTTATTCTTATCAAATGTTTTCCTTGTTTGCAGAAAGGAGAGTTACAGAAATGCCTTTGTTCCCTCTTTAACTGGAGGCAGATTATTGTTGTTAAGGAATTAGATAACCAAATAAATACTTGAATATATTTTATTTCACTTTTTTCTTAGAATCATTAATGAGATTTCCAGTTTAGGTTTCTGATTGTTTTGGGTTTTTTCCTTAACAGATGGAATTAGAGGTCATTACAGCTAAGGTCCCAGTGGCAGAGGGCATATACTGACTGCCACTTCAGTGTGTGATACACTAGTGTAGGCTATTAACATGACTTGATTTACAGTTATCAGTAGTTGGCAGTTATGAGATAGAAATTTTAAACCTCCAACAGCATACACATTAATCACTTTTTGGTATCTGAGAATGAAAATGTATGTTCAAGTAAATTAAAATCTTTTTTAGGAATATGAAGCCATCTACCTAGCAAAATTAACAATACAGATGATGTCACCACTCCAAATAGAAAGGTCCTTATCTGTTCATTCTGGTACCACAGGTAAGAATTTTTTCTTTTAAAAAAGAAAAGCAAAGGTGGAAAAGACACATCCATTGCTTAATACAAGTTGTACCAAATAATTTAAATTGTTTAGAAAGATTTAGGAAAACTTGAATTAAAACAAGGTAATTTGAAAAAGACTAATTTTATAGTGAATAAATGTGTTATAATGAGCTTTTGCACTGTGTGTACCGCTGTGTATAGTAAATTAGAATCCGCTGGTTAGATGATCAGATATCTACTTATGTTTCGTTTTGGTTTTGTGATACTGGGGATTTAAACCCAGAGCCTGGCACATGCTAGGTGAGGACTCTGCCCCTGAGCTACATCCCTAATCCTGCTTGGTTTAAAGTCTCCCAAGTAGTACAGTTCTATTTAAAAGATTAAAATAATACGAGGAGTCTGGATAATTCAGGTGATCTTGTCAAAAACAAAGGATGGGATGGGCATGGTAGTGTGTATACACACATGCACACGCACAGACACACACACACACAAAAAGAGCTGGGGACATAACTAGGGAGCCTCTGGGTTCAGTCCCCAGTTCCCCATCCTCACCATGTTTCAGATTCAGTATGGTGAAGGTGAGCTACTTTTTTCTCTTGCCGTCAGTATTTTGATCTCTTCTTCCCTCTTTGCTATTTTATGAACACCCAAACCCCCTCTCAAAATCTTTTGTCTTCCTTTTCCGAGACTTTGCTACTCTTGTTTATTTCTTTTGTTTTTAGCCTACTAGATAGAGTAGTTACGCCACCGCTGTTTTTCTGTCCCAGTTTATTTCAGACTTCTTTTGAACCAGCACCCTTACAAGGTAGGAAGAGCAGGTCCTATACCTTGCTAGTGTCGACCTGGAATTTGAGCGCAGGTGATTGGGTCCACAAGTCCAAAACACTTTGCACTGAACTACACTTCCTGAAGTGATAAAGCTGCGTACTCATCTCCTGGACTCAACTTCCTGGCTATTATTGACTCTGCTTTCCTTTGTCGCCTCTACATAGTCACTTTCTAAATCCTACTGGGTCTCTTTTCTCAGTATTTTAAAAATTCCTTATTTATACTACCCTTAATCTCAGCCCACTTCAGGTCCATATTAATCTCTTATCTGAGCTTACTTGGTCTATTTTATATATCGTGAACCAACTTCTTTTTCCTTTCCCAAAGCCTTTTCTGACTTTATTCCTGCAGAAGAAAATATATAGATTGCCCTAGGTAGTTAAGGCCCTTCTGATTTTTCAATTTGTGCCTCTCTGTCCTTTTTATAATCTGCCTTCCAGAAAACGGAACTAGTTTTCCTTTTTTTTTTCACCTAAAATGTATCGTATTGTCTTCCTATTCTTGTACATCAAATGACATTTTGTCAGGAAAACTTTGATAATACAATCTGCCTCCAAACCCTCTTCATTCAGAATTCCTGTAGAAGCGCAGTACTGAAACCTAATCACAGCATCTGTATTTAACCTCATGACTAGGGTATTTTCTTCCACTTTATTCCATTGTATTGACATTATATTTTTATCCTTACTGGTTTGGTCTTGTAGTGAAACATCAGTTTTGTTATCAGAATCTGCCCTCTGCATTAATATTTTACTGTGATTTAGTACAACCTTTAGGGCATAAGTTTGAGACCATGCCATTTCATTGTTAGGCACAAAACACAGCCGATTATGTCAAGTTCAGCTGTTCCCTATCCTGAGACTCCAATTTCCTGCATATCACTGTTGGGGATATTGGTATGGGTTTGATTCTATGTGGGAAATTTTGTACTATCTGCTACATGCCTTCCTTTCTATCACCCTAGACTTGTTGATAATAAAACAGTGGATTCAGTGGAAGAATACTTTCAGCTGCTTTTCATAATAGCATCTGTGAAAACATGATAATTTTGTCTAAAATTCATACAAAAATGATTAATTTCTTGAGGTTTATGTCCTTAAGTTACATATTTTTATATCTAAAAAGGTAGACTTGGTGACCAAACTCTGGGTAGCATTCAGCTTCTCAAAAATGCTAGCTTCACAGTACTTAAACTTTTAATATGTAAAGAAAGAATTAACTACAACACTATTTTATTCTCAGGAGAGAAAATATAGCTTGTCATAAGGATAAAAGGTTATTTGGGTAATTTCCAACAAAATAACTTGTTAAAAGTTTAGCATAAATAGTTTACCATAAAAGTTTACCATAAATTCAGTCCTGAAATTATCTTATGTACACAGTACCACTTTTTGACAGATTTTTACTAGCTGTTACATTCTAACATGAACTTAATGAATTCCCATTTTATGTTGACTCAATAACTTTTAGGCAGTTTAAAGAGAACACATGAAGAAGAAGATGATTTTGGAAACATGCAAGTGGCAACTGCACAGAATGGCTGACTCAAGAGTAACATTATAGAGGGAGTGAATTTCAGTTTGAAAGAGAAAATACTAAAGATGATGACAATATAAAGTGGTAAAAACACAAGTAGTTTCCTTTCAGTTACATGTTGCTTCCAGAAATGTTTCTCTGCAACATGTTAAGAAGATGTCGGACTTCTGCAGTAGATGGCATTGATGGTTTTACTTTTTTTTAACTTTACAGTTTTATTATAAACTAAGAATTTTGGACTTGCAATGAGTTATTATTGCAATAATGCACTTTTCATACTTGAAATTTATTTGTATGATATAAAGTTATTACTTTAAACAAAATGGAAGTTAGGGGGGATTTGTTTATCATTTTTGGGTAATTTATAACAAAAGAATTTCCTAGGGTTTGCTACAAATTCATTTTGTGTTCTATATATTACATTTAAAAAATAATTTTACAGTTACATTTTATGATGGAACCCAACATAACAGAAGTGCAGGCATTGCCACTTTCTTAGTATAAGACAATAAATTAATGACCATTTTTAAAACCTTGATCCCTTGTTAATTAGCTCTCCTTATTTCCACTTAATCCAATTAATGCTTCCTTTCTGTTACCTTAATTCATTTATTCTTTAGGGAAAAAAAGGTTTAATGATCAAAGAAAGATGTTTTGCTTTATAGTATAAGATGCTCAAAAACAAAGGTAGTGTTAAGATTTTCAAGTGACTTTCCTCTTTTCCTTTTTCTTTCAAAGTGCATAAATTTCTGGTTTTTTGAGACAGGGTCTTGCATATAGCCCAGGATGGCCTCCAACTTGTGTTCCTCCTGCCTCAGCCACCCAAGTGTTGGGATTACAGGCTAGAAATACATAAATCTTGATACTGAGTTCTTGCACAGTATCTCCTCAAAACAGGACTGCCAACTTGCTTGTTTTCTGTCCTCATCTCTGAAATTTGTCCCACTACAAAGAAGGGGCTCTCTGCAGTCCCTCCCCAGCAGTCCCCCCATTTTCTGGCAGTAGCTTCCACCCACGGGGGAGGATCTGCTGTTGTTTTTCTGATGAGCTCAAGGTCCACAGCCCTGGTAATCAGGTTCTTCCTGGAGCATCTATGGATCCCCGAAGAGCTGCAGCAGCTTTTGTACAGGGAACCAGTGGACAGAAGTATCGTTCATGTGTCCATGAACTGGAGCCTGAGGACACTCGCTCCTCCAGGCCTCCCAGCTTTGCAGTGCAAAGAGAATCTTCCCGTAGAGTCCTTGTCCTCAGCCTCTTCTCAAGGCCTCTGAAATGTCCCATATGTTGGTCATCTGGAAAGGGCTCCTGCTGGCCAGTTGCTCCATAAAGGGTGGTTGGACAGGACCGTCCCCAGGGAACACGTTGAGATGGTGTGGGACAGATGCTTCACTTGCTCTCCTTGGCCCCCTGAGAACCACACTGTCAAGGGTGTTGGGAACTGCAGTGTCAAGTGGGCCAACAGTATGTCAGACCCAGCAGTGACTTCCAGGAGCCGACACTGTTCCTGAAGAAAACCAGAAGCACCTGCTGGACTCTGCTGTGACGCCACAGGCGAAGGTCCCAACAGGGAGCACACGCACTGCACGTGGAGACTCCCTTGGCCAAGGTTTCACTGAGCTGGAGGTAGGGCTCATGTGGGACCCATCTGATGAGGAGTCGAGATGGAGGAGTCTCCCCACAGGAGCCTTCATTTGTTCCCGCTGTCCTCCACCACTGAGCTACAGCCCCAACCCTTTTTTTAAACAGGGTCTTACTAAATTGCCCAGCCTGGGCTCAATCTTGGAATCCTCCCTGCCTCAGCCTCCTGGGTGCTGGGATTACAGGTTTATGCCACTGAGCCCAGCTTCTACTGTCTTCTAAGCTATCGGTGATGGTTTCCACTTCGGAACTCTAGAAATCAGAGACCGTCAGGCTCCACTGGACCACTGTGCCCCTGCAGCTCTGCCTGCCTCTCCACAGCAGCGCCACCAAAAGCCTCTGCCAAGGTCCCAGCGCCAGCTTCTCGGCCCTAGCCCATGCTCTCCCTGTCTGCTTTTTTGAAGCCAAATGTTGTGCCTGTTCTCTGAGTTCCCTAGCTGTTTCTACCTTTGTTGGAATGGTTCTAAACAGACTGATAAACCAGTGTAACACCATTTTTTTTTCTAAATGAAGCCCCCAAAAAGAAAAGTGCCTTGCATCACTTTAAAAAGTTAATCCTCATTGACCTCTAAACTAGTAAATAGGCCAGTGAAAAGCTCTTAATATTTTTGGTAATTTCTTTTGTCTTTATTAGTTTAACCTGAACCTTGACGAAACATTACTAAATTATTTGGAGTATGGGATATTTACTTCTTCATTTCATATCATCTTGTTTCTGTGAAGTTTCAATTCAGACACTTTTCTCTGAAGATGAATTTATTGGGGAAAGTGATTTGTGCATGTCTTTTGTGAATTTTAAATTAGCATTTTAATCAGTTCTTTACGTTGAAGTAATCCAAATTTTCCCCATAATTTGCATTAGCAAAGTTACCTTATAGGTCTTTAGTTGTTTATGTTCTTATTTATATGTCACTAAAACTGTTGCTATTTTGAATATGTGAGGGAAAGGGAGTGTTTTTAACTTCCGTAGTTGATGACCTTAGGGCAGCACAAACAAAACTCCCCTCACCTCTCCATCCTGTCGAGGTGCTTCACAGAGTGGTCCTTACTGATGGGACAATGTTCATACCTTCCTGAGTCCCGGACACGTTGCAAGGCACCGTGGTACACCGGTTACTGACATGCTTTCCTCCCTCAGTTGTAATAATATAGAAAAAGCTGTTATCTAGTATAATGGAAGAGTGAAAACTAATTTAAAATGGCTGTTAATTAGGAGTCAATTTCTCTTAACCCATGTGATAGTCCTGTTCTTATTTCCATCCCTTCTCCTATTTTGCCACCCTGAAAACAGATTAACCCCATGATGGTCCGTTTTGTACTGTGTGATTGGGTCATCTGTTGTCGTAGTCTAGTGGAATTCAGATGCCATTGGATGTTCAAAATTCTAGTTGATAAAGACCTAGATAGCGTGGCTTTTCTGTATATAAATCATTCCTGGGTAGATCAGCAAAACAGTCTCTTGGAATGTAATCAACCTATGATACTTCATTCAGCAGAAACTGCTTAAAATAATTTTTATGAAAGTAAATGTGGATTTTACAACTTAGGCAGTTACAACCTAAGAGTTTTAAAAAATTATTTTGGTAAAAATACATCATTTCTAGAAGTCTGCCTAAAATTACAGTTGCAATAGCACATGCCTGTAATCCCAACTACTCAGGAGGCTGAGACAAGATTTCATGTTTAAGCCCAGCCTAGGCAATTGAATGAAACCCTGTCTCAAAAATAAAAAGGCTGGGAATGTAGCTCAGTGTTATATAAAGGCCCTAGGTTCAGTCCCCAGTACCAGGAAAAAAAAATTGTTATTAATCTGATTTGTAGCTGTAATTTTCAATTTTTTCTAGCCAGTATCGTTTTTATGTTGTCACTAAAGTGCCTGCCCAGCACTGTATACTAAAGACAGTTTCTCTTAAACACAAGCAAAAGAGACTGCCATCATCTTGAGTATAAGAGCAGTGAATGTGGACAAAACACAAGATTATTCTTTCATATAAGAAACATTGAAGATTGTTTTTTCTTGGATCTGTTCGTCTACATTAAATGTTCAACTAGTTCTTCAGTTAGCCTCTCCTAGTTTTGGTTTCATTCTGCGATCCTTTTATTTCCAGTGATGGTTTGTGATAGTTAACTATGATAAACTTAACAAATCATGTTTTATTTTCTAGAGCATTTGAATAATGTATGACTCCCCAATTTTAACATCAAATATGTAATCTGGGTACAAAATTTAAAGTGAAATTACCTCAAAACATTACTGTAATTGATGCAATTACATCAATTGGATTACTGTCCATTTTGAAAGTATGAAATAGCACTGAAAATATTCAAACTGGAATGGCAGTTTTCTTCTAATTTTATCTAATTGGTTCGTGTTAATTTCTTATTAGATGTTTAAACAATAGTTAGCTTTATTTGTATCTACTCTGGTGGAAATGTTAAACCATGATAGCTTTTGGTATCAGCTCTTAACCACTCAACTTATAGAGCAGAATATTCATCCACTTTGGGGTGGGGGGATTTTGTGCTTAATCTGAGTTTAGAAATACTGTCAGAAAATGTTAAGCATGCCCTTTTTGAGAAAATATTAATGTTTCTAATTGTCCTGTTGCCATGGTGATTCAAGTGAATTAGAAGTATTTAACTGCAATCTTGAATTATAAAGTTGAGATGTATATATCAGGAGCTCAACTTGATGTAAAGTAAATGAGCAGTTACCTGGTGGATTTTTAAAAAAAATAATTGGTTTAATCCATAATCCCATATCAAAACATAGCTTCACTTCAGTATTTATCTTTTTCCATTCAACAGTGCTAAAATAAGGAAATGATAAATAGGTAAGAGTTACTTTTGTTTGTTCATTAGAAAAATAAGTTTCTAGAGTCTTTGCTGGATTTTCTTTGTCTTTCCTATCCATGGCAGCTACAAAACAAAACAAAAAAATCACTCAAAATATTTTACATGTTAAATACATGTTAAATACATGTTTACATGTTAGCTCTCTTCTCAACAGAGAGTTGCCATACCTCACAGTTCAAAGTGTATTCTATAGATCAGTAACATTATACTGACATGTAATTGCAATTTACTATGCAGCAAAAATGATTCAAGAAGAGAATAATGTACAGTGTCTGTTTACCTTTGTATAGACAATTGCTTATGTTACTCTTTTAACATTTGTACTTGGGTAAATGCTTATGTATGTATAGGAATGTCACAATGCAAGATGCTGCTAGCTCAGGCACAAAGTATTAAAATTATTTTGTGAAGACTGGTGGTTATATTAAAACTATTGTGCCATTATACTTCAAAGATTGAAAAGCTCATTCATATGGCTTTTAACTGAGTTTTACTCCCACACATTTAAAAGGATGAATGAATACTGGATATGGAGGAACACTTGTGGTGGCACACAAAATTACTGTCGGTAGACTATACAAGCCCTAAATTCCAGCTAACGTATTTTTAAAGATTTAGTTGTACAAGTTTAGAGTTGGAAGTCAGGGAATTCATGCATGAAGGAAATGGTAGATTCTGGGCAGAACCACTTCCAGCCAGTTACAAAAACAGCTGCTCTCATAGTATCCCTCTTCCTCTCTTAGCCTACCTACGTACTGTGCTTCACCAAATTTAACCTTCCATCAAAACAGCACCATTATTTTAAGTGCCACTCAGTACAGTGTTCCTGCTGTGGCAGGCCATTGGTCATACAATTCATCCCGACTTCAGAGATGTTAGTATATTTTTAGGATCAGTGAAATACTAATATACAAAATATATGGAACAAGTCACAACTGCCACTTGATTATACCTTTTTTTTTTTTGGTACTGGGGATCGAACTCAGAACCTTGCGCTTGTGAGGCAGGCACCAGAACCACTGAGCTACATCCCCGGCCTCTTTGGTTTTTTTTGAAAAAAGGTCTTTCTGTGTAATTCAGACTGGCCTTGAACTATGTAGCCTAGGCTGGCTTTGAACTTGTGGCCATAAATGCTGGGATTATAGGCATGCACCACACCTGGCTCATTATACCTTTCAAAAGCAAACCATGCTCAGAAATGTGGATATAGTTCATATGTTTGTTTCAGTTTTTTCTTACTCATTTACAGTGTGGCTCAGAAATAAGCACTGCTTATTAACTAAAAGCCAAATACAGATTAGTTTTCCTCAGTGGCACAATCTTTTATACTCTAAACCTTATCTGTAACTGTTTTCTATGGGAGGCGGTTAAGAAAAGATTTTAAGAACAAAATTCAGATGGATTTATTGAAATACAGTGGTGCCTGTTTATGAACTTGTTTTATGATTTTGGGAAGGATGGCTGTGTTTGGGGAAGATAGCTGTGATCAAGTTCATCACCTGATGCAGAGTTTATGAATGGAAGAAAAATTTTGCTGAATGCTTTGTGGTTTTTTTGGTACCGGGGATTGAACTCCTCAGGTCCTTGTGCTTGCACAGCAGGCAGTGAAACCACTGAGCTAAATCCCTGGCCCCCTGAATGCTTTGTTTACAAACTAAATAATTCGCAAACAGAAGCATTTGTGAATTGAGGCATTAGTGTTATGAATCTTATTTTTTCCTTATTGGGAATCAAACTCAGGACCTTGCGCTTGCCAAGCAGGCACAGTGCCACTGAGCTAAGTCCCCGGCCCTACTGTACCAATCTTACAGGTAATTTTACCTTGAATACAGTGGACCCTCAAGTTACAACTGGCCTGATATATGAACACCTTGGGTTAATTAGGTTGATGGAAGATTCATTTGCCTCTTGTTACCTATAACACGTACCCAGGTTTACTCCAGATCTCAGCTGTATTGACTTATAACCAACTTGAGTTACAACCAGCCCCGAGGAACTGATCGAGTTTATAAGCCAAGGGTCCACTGTAGTTCAGTGTTAAGAAATGCAATAGAGCATATTATTTTGCCTTTTTATGAGGCTTATTCAAAATGGTTTTTAATTATCAAAATGTACCTAATGAAGCTGCTGCCAAGACCACAGGACTCCTGAAAAGACAGAACTTTGTTGCTTTCACTAGGCACAGTTCATCTGTGTAGGTCAAAAGGTAAGTATACACCCTCTACCGGTGAAGGATTTCTGTTGTTCTGGAAAGCCAACTTAAGCTAACTGCTTGGAGTAAATCCAAAATCCAGCTGAAGTAGTATGACTTAGAGATGAGAAGTAGCTGGTTCTTCCTTTCCAAGTTTGTTTTACACAGAGTACACAAAACTCAGATAACTGAACTGAGACTTCAATTGGAGACTCAAGAAAAGCATAGGCAAGATTCTAACAGAAGAGTTATTCATATGAGCAGGTTTAATGTAACATGGACATGGAATGCAAAAGATTAGAACCTTTAATAAAGTATATTAATTCCTCAACTTTAAGAAATAATTAAAATAAATAAAACAGGACAGTGACCAGAAAAATAGTACCATTATAATCACATTAAATAGAAAAGCTACCATGAACATTTTCAGAATGAGACAAATACAGTGCCAAACATTTTAAAATATTCCCCACAATTTTGTAATATTTCATGTTTCACAAAAACATTAACCAAAAGAAAGGCTTCAGTACCCATAAAAAAAGAAAGGTAAAAGTACATATGCCGAGAGTTGCTAAAATACCTTTTCAGGTTTTTTTTTGGTACCAGAGTTCGAACTCGGGTCCTTGCGCTTGTGAGGCAGGTGGTGGCACCACTGAGCTACATCCCCAGCTCAGTCTTGACCTTTATATTCGCCCTTCAGTAATTCTAACAAATGAATAATATTTCAAAGATAATATAGGTAGTACTCCCATATGAAACTATATGCACTTTTGGTAAGTAAAACATGTTTTCCTCTGGACCCTATCAATTTCATAATTTACATTTCTTTAAAAGGCTGATCAAGTTGTCTGCCAATATTAGATCAGCAAATGTTAGCTGAACTACATTAAATCCAACCTTATGTAATCCATATGTGAGAAATGACAGCAAGTGTATGTAGATGAATGTGGTAAGAAACAGCCATGATCAGTTTTAAAAATGAGCAGCACAGCTCCTTACTACTCATACTCTTTACTACCAAGAAACTAAGCCAAATTTTAGAAAAATACAATGCGAGAAAAGATTCCAGTTAAAAATATATTCATTTGGTTAAAAATCATCCCTTTATAATACTTAATTTGTGATCTGAATTCACAGCATGTCCCACCAGCCTAAGGTAATCTTCTAAACATCATCGTACTTGGGATATTTCAGTGTGCTTTTCAGTTCAGTGCTGATGGAGGCCACTGGGTGCAGCACATCAGCTCCTATACAATTTTCTTAAGTGACTTTTAGTTTAGAAACCTCTGGCACATGTAGTTTTCTTCAGAGACTGCATAGCCAAACTTCTTATAGAAACCAACATTTTGTGGTAGACATTCAAGAGTAATCTTGTAACAGTTCAGTTTCTTGCTTAGCAAAGTAAGGGTCGACAATAACCTGAAATTTTAAAAAAGGGTGGGGAAACAGCATTTATTTAAAAAGGATTTTAGTAACAACAAGAACTTAGTGTTGTATAAAAAATAAGACTAATTTTTATTAGAAATAGTTTAGATCTTGGCCTTTCTCAATGCATTCATTTAAATATTAAAATAATATGTTGATAAGCATTTAAATCACCATTTTACTTAATTTCAAATATACTTTTTCTAGAAGTTAATAGAACAAATATTAAACTCTTAAAGCCTTTTGAAAATAAGATTTTTGTTAACACTGAAGACTACCACCCCATATAAAAATATACTCAAATTATTTTATCAAAGGTCTTTGTTCTAAATCTGTTCACACTAAGAAGTGAACATTCTCACATAGAATGGACACATAAAAGCTTTGTTCTTTAATCATTTTAAGGCTATTTTAACATTTGTGAAAAATATGGATTAGATTAACTCAAGATTGGCCTAAAAATATAATGTGGACACCAAGCCAAGGAGAGTACCTCTTTATAATAGGAGATAAAATCATAAAATTGTTAGGAAATTTTCCTGAAAAGTTTTCTCATGTTTGAACAGAACTAAAAAATTTAAATCCTTAAATTTTTTATAAAATTATAAAAAGTATGACTGAGTTAAACGGACAAGAATACTAGAAATCAGTCTGTTTTGTTCACTGATAATTCCTAATACCTAGAATAGTATCTGGTACTTAAAATTTACTCAGTGGATTTCTTAAAACTCCAAAGAGATAATAATAAAAAGCACCAAGTTCTATCACAAAATAGGCAATAAACCTGTATAGTTTACAACAGTTGACATTTCCTTTGTTTTAGAGAACTGGCACAGTTTAAGATGTTATTGTTGGTATTGGAGTATATTTTAAATTCTCAAATTGAGGCAAGACTATATACTACTACTTTGTTTCTTCATTAAATCCAGGCCAAGCTACAGTATGAGAATGAATTTATACTTAATGGAGCCTAGAAAGAACTTCAAACAGAAAAACAAGTATCTTGAAACTAAAGTGAAACAGAATACTCAGGGTTACCTTATTTCTGCTTACTTACAATTTGCCAAGCTGCTTTCCTCTGCATTCATCACTAACAACAACATCTTCTACTCTTCCTCTCTAAAAATATAGTGATTAAAGGACTGAGCATACACTTTTTTTGTTTTGTGCAGTGCTGGGGATTGAACCCAGAACCAAATAACACATGCTATAAGTGCTCTACTACTGAGCTACATCCCCAGCCCCAGTCTAGTTTTTTTTATTTTGGTACTGGGGACTGAACTCGGGACTTTCTGTTTGGGAGGCAGGTGGTGGCACCCCTGAGCCAAACCCCTGGCCCTAGTTTTGTTTTTAGTGAAACCAAGAAATGATAGTTGGCAAGAATTTATTCATAAATGTTTTATAAACTTGAACTTTATAAAAAATTGAAAAAATTTTTATTATCACAAAGGAAATAGTTTTAAGGAATCAATTTGGGGCTTAATCATTTTTTTGGCTGTACTCTCAAACATCCACCCTTAATCCACTGTTTTAAAGGAAATCTCAGAATCCACATGAAAGTATAATCTTGTCATAAATAGTACATCCAGGGCCAAGGATTTAGCTCAGTGGTGCCGCCGCATGCCCTCGCAAGCACAAGGTCCTGACTTTGATCCCAGGTACCCAAAAAAAGTACATCCATCATTGTACTCTTTCCGTAGTAGTAGTTTATTTCAAACAGCCAGATAAGATTTATCCTAGTGCAGAAACCCCATAACCCCATCAGAATTCATAAATTACAGGATACATGCCAAGTGTTCTATCTTTTTTGTTTTTTTGCAGGGGATTGAACCCAAGGCCACACTATCACTGAGCTACCCACACTTCATTTTTTATATAGAGACAAGGTCTTCCTAAGTTACCCAGGCTGGCCTCGAACTTGTGATCCTCCTGCTTTGCTCCAGCTTTTCTTTGATTATGTAAGGAGTTTTTTGTTTTTACTAATTTTATGTGAGTTTATGAGGGATAAAAGGGCACTACAAAACAAGCATTATAAGTGTTACAATTAGAATGGAATTACAGTATTCCATGACCTTTACCACATGGAAACTGATAGAAATCTGTACAGATGTAATAGACTCTGAAGAAACAGACCATGAGGGATTTTAAACTGTTACAGGATACTTGGTTTTTCTATGACTGCACCAAATCTAACCTTTACAGAACAATTTCAACAAACAGTTCACACCACTACTTTTTCTTCCTTTTGTAGCCCTCAAAAATACACCAGGAAAATGTCTGGTAAAAAGGGATTTCTAAGAATCATGTAAAGCAATGACAAAGACAGATTTGTCTAATAAAAATTCTGAGTCCATTTTCCTAGAAAACACCTATCTATCCATTTTACATGTAAGCATTAATGTGAACATATACCTTAGCACAGGAATGGATGAATTTATGTTCGATTATCAGAGTTGCTGTAGCAACAATCTGTCCTAGGGTCACATCTTCCACAACTATAACATAATAATCCCCAGATTTCTTCATATGTTCAAAAGATTCTGTGAAAATTAGAGAAAGTATTATATTGTAGACATTCTATTTATTAGGTACCAGAAAAATACTAGGATTAATTTTTAAAGCTACCTTACCAATTTACTTTCCATTTCTAAAAATATTTATTTGAAATGAGTTGAAATAGCTGAATTAGTATTAATTGAACCACAGTCCACACATTTAATCTCCTAACAAAAAAAAGGCTAAATTGTACATTTTACTACTTCTACCACTAATTAAAACTTCAATACCTTCATTACTTTAACTAGATTTGTTTACCCTTTACACCCAACAGATACTCAAATAAAACAGAACTTTGCAAATTCTAAGCATGTTTATATTCTGTAATTCTTAGTTTCAAAATATTTTGACAAAACAGTTTTCAGTTTTCCCTTTGTGATTTCAAGTGTTTCATGATTACACACTGGCTCTTTTAGAAACAGAATCACTGTTTTTGTTTGCTTTGAAAGCACCTTACACAGTAGGTGAAAAATGACTTCATTTACAAGTAATTTTTCCAAAGTCACATAATAGGAGCAGAGATACTTTTCTCTCAAATAATTTTTAGTATTTACACTGCTGAAAAAACATGACTGCTAATCTGTTACACATGCAAAGGAAAACTGAGGAGTTAAAGACCAAGCTCTCGTTTTATTTCCAGTCTCATTCTATATAGGGGTCTGAAGTGGGAAGAATAGATGTAATGAAGGAAAATAAAGGATGAAAATCAGAAAATTATGGTCTTAATTCTCAGGAGGGTTGGAGTACAATACAGAGCTACCTATTAAAGGAAATGGACAATTACAGAAAATAGGACAATGCAGTGTTAGAACACTGGATAAAATTAAGACGGTTTTAGACTTTTCTTTAAATAACCACCTACAGGGCCTGGGATTTAGCTCAGTGGTTCTGCTGCCTGCCTTGCAAGCACCAAGGTCCCGAGTTCAATCCCCAGTACAAAAATAAAAAAAAAAACCACCTATGATCTTGTGTAAGACATTGAATCTCTCTGGATACCCACTTTTCTCACATCTCAAAGTGGAGGTGGGGTGGGGAGCGGTGTTGGTGCTGCTAACTTTACAATTCAAGCTAAGAACAAGAAAAAGAACATATACGCATATACTTAGGGCTGGGGGTTTAGCTCAGTGGTGCCACCACCGGAACCGCAAGCGCAAGGATCCGAGTTTGATCCTTGGTACCAAAAAAAAAAAAAAACCAGAACTTACACTTTTGCATTTTTTATTTGGTAAGGATATTTCTATAACCACATAGAAGGAAATACTATAAGAAAAACTGAAAAATATCTAGAGCTGTCCCTACATCTTACACAGAAGTATCTAAAAATAAAGTTATTTTGCAAAACCAGGTAATTATTACATTTGGATTCAAGACAACTCAGTCATATTAAATGTTTACATAAGAAAATATCTGAATCATTTCTAGTCATCTGAACAAAAACTCAAAAACAGATCTGTAAGCAAAAAACCTTTTTTCCTTTATTTTCCTTTAGGAAAATGCTGTAGTACTTACTCATAAACTGTTCTGGGTTGACAACTCCAGTCTCTGTCAGCTGACCCAGTACCTTAAAAAAACCTATTTTTGAAAAGAAATTTTAAGTCATGAGAAGAAAAGCAATGAAGTGACAAAACATGAAAGAAGCAGTAGTATGTTAGCTGGTGGGACATGAGCAGTTAATGTTACAAGATTAAACTGAAACCTGTTTTCAGTAATCACTAACAAAGGATTATAAACTTCACCAATGGTTTTGCCTGTTTAGTAAGATTTCTGGAACAGTGCAAACCTTAATATCCAGTATTTTATAAAGCTAGCACATACATTTTTTTCAGTGTAATATGTATTAAGTTCAATGCAAGAATATCAAGTTTTCCCAAATATGTAATTTGGTTTGAAGTATAAGATTCTCACTATGGCAGGGCATGGCAGCACACCCTGTAATCCCAGCCCCCGGAAGGCTAAGGCAAGAGGCCAGTCTGGACTACATAGTGAGATCTTATCTCAAAAAAAAAAGATTCTCACTATGATACATGGCCAATTTGAACTACATAGTGGTGAGACCCTGTCTCAAAAAAAAAAAAAAAGGGCCGGGGCTTTAGCTCTGTGGCACCTCGCCTGTCTTGCAACCACAAGGTCCTGAGTTCGATCCCCAGTATGGAAAAAGAAAAAAAGACAAAGTTAGTTTCTTCAGATTTCTCACCCAAATGAAGTGTGAGAAATAAAATGTTTACTTTTAATTAGCAAAGTTTAAGGAAATTATGTTGGAGAATTTAGATGTTAAAAAAGACACCTTTGCCTCTGTTTATGAGGAGTCTTTTTGGAAGAAGCACTGTCATATTTAAGTCATTTGAAACATTTCACAATAATATTCTGTCTTGGCCATGGTCACTGGAACTGAATATCCCAGTCACTTTCAAGAATTAAGTACAAAATAGTGCAAAAATCAAATATTTTTAAAAGTTGTGTTTTAATGTTTATGGAGAAAACAAAACTAATTTAATAGTTTTAATCAGGATTGGCAAACTGAGTCCATACCTCTGTTTAAGTCAGCAGTACAAAGGGGCCTCAAAACCAAGCCTTCTCCGGGATGTGTTGGAGAAATGTCTGGAGAAAACGTAGCTGTATTCTGGCTCCAGTCCACTTCTCTTAGTAGACTTGGGTCAAACATAGGTGTTTCATCAGGTTTCATCTTTCTAGTAAGGCCTAAAATAAAAATTTTAATGTTAAGGCATTTTATTAAAAGAAAAATTATTATGACTGATGAAAATACTAACTTCTTAATATAAATTAATGCAATAAGAAGCATTCTTTAACAGGCTCCCAAAAACTATGTGTTCACAGTAATGGTTGGTCTTAGCTGTGATAGACAATAAACCAAGTGCTGTTGGATTTTGTTTTCGTAGCAGGATTTCTAAAACCCTATTATATAAGCATCTAAGCAGCTTAAAAATAGCTGCCTTCAAGAGGCTGAGGCAGGAGGATCATGAGTTTGAGGCCAGCCTGGGCTACATAGTTCTAGACAAGCCCATCACAAAAAACTAAAAGAGCCAGTGTTTTTCAGGCTACTGAAAATAACCAATTATGGTATTTCCCCTCTTCTTGAACATTCAGAAATGAACAGGTTCTCACTAATGGTCTTATAAGACTAACCCTAAATAATACATATCACAGTAGGAGAAATGAACAATTTTACAAAGCATAAAATGGGGTAAATCATGTTGTAGCAAGAAGAAAACGATCTTCCCAATAATCAGAAGACCGAACCTCCAGTTTTTATTTCTATTCCTACTGAACAATTTTCCCAATAAACTCACTCCCTATTTCATAAGTCACACAGCATACTTTAGGGCACATATTCTTAAACTTTCCTAAAAATAGGTAAAATTTTTGCCTCTGAGCTGGGCATGGTTGTGCAGGCCTGTAATCTCTGGACTCAGGAGGCTGAGGCAAGAGGATCTGAAGCCAGCCTGAACTACATAGCAAAACCCTGTCTCACACCCCCCCCCCAATTCTGCCTGTCCAACCCCCTATAACTGTATAAAGGAATGCTATGGAACAGTACAGGCTTTGGGAAAGTAGTATGGTATAATAGAATTTAACCCTTGCTCAACACTATGTGCCAGGCACAGTTCAAAGAACCTTACATATTACCAATTCATTTACCTCAACAACCCTTCAGGGTAGGTGTATTGGTTATCTCCATTTTAATAAATAAGGAAATGAAGGCAGAGATATTAAGTAACTTACCCAAGGTCACAAAATAGAGCCAAGATTTAAACCCTAGTAGAGAACCATGAGCTTTGGAATTAGGCCTGAAATACAAATGTCAACTTGTGATCTTAAGGTAATTAAACTATTAAAATCTTATTTTCCTCATTTATAAAGTAGAGGTTCAATTATTAGCAGGAGGAAAAGAATTACTGTATGCAAACTAGCTCTTAGCAGTACCCAGCACACTGGGAATACTGAAAAAATATATTCTACTTAGTAATATATTTAAAATTCACTTCATACATTTTAATTCATGAATCAGGCACTGTGCTGTGTACAGACTACAAACATATGACAGATTATTATGTTTCTGTTAAACCAAAAGTTAGTGTTCTTGGATAGGAAAGAATAAAGATGTAGTCTGGTATGTACAATGCTGAGGTTTGTTTTTTGGTTTTCTTCCCAGAAAAGTTTCAGATCAAATTATAACACTATTCCTAGGACAAAAAATATTGAGCAATGGTTATAAATTGTGATGATTAAAACAATAACTTGTATCAAGTGAACAAGCTTACCATCCATTCTAAACTCTTTAGTAGGTTAATTTTAGGGCATGAATTTTAGTGTTTGTCTTTGATAATTGGACCCCTGAGGCTTTTGTTTGTAATCTCATTTGAAAAAGGGGTAACAACATCATCGTTTCTCAAATATGCAGACAAATAGGCTATGTATTTACTGATAAAACATGTACATTAAATGCAGAAAACAAAAAGTATTAATATTTTAAGTTCCTTAAGGCAACATCCTAAACATTTTGATTGTGTTATTTAATGATGAACATTAATGAGATTTAAAGTTAACTAGCTTTCTTTTTCTTATAAAGTTGCTTGAGTTTACAATAAAACATAGCCTGGAAGATACTCAAAATAAGCTTAGTAGGGGAGAAGTGTACAGGAGAAGAATTAGGATTAGGAAGGGTTTAATGAATTCTAAATATTTCCTGAGCTTTTCTTTAACCAGCTGATTCTATTCTCAAATGATTACAAAAATCGGTAATCCTGGCTGACATTTGTGAAGTACTTTATAGTTGTTAACTCTGTCAAACACAGTGAAAGATAGTCATGATTTATCCCTGTTTTAACAAGGAAGGAGGAACAGCATAGTGTATTTGGGGTAGGTTCCAGTGCCAGGGAGGAAGAGTTAGAATTCAGAGGGCGGTGCCAGGGACAGCTTCACAAGGTCCGGACCTCTGCAGCACTCAGGTCCCCTTTGCTTGGTTGAAATGCTCTGGTGCTCTTAATTTGACATTCTTAATAATTTTTTAACAAGGAGCTCTTCGCACAGGTGACCACAAATTATGTTGCTAGTCCTACTAGGCAGAATGAGTTCAGACTCTATGCTAAACCATTCCACCAAAGAGGTACTAGTTCAGATGAATTCCCTACTTACTGTACAAGGGTTGAAAATTTAGCCAAGACAGCACTTAGAACCTACACTTGAAAATGAGAATTTCAGACTAGACAAAAATATAACCAAAGCATTCTGGGTAGAAATAATCCATTAATCAGACAACCAGAAATTAATATCAAAATGTTTTTATCAGCTATTTTACAAAACACAGCCATGATTCTCACTTTATTTTATTCTGTCCTTAAATAGTAAAACTTTGCTGGTGTCTAACTGATATAGTAGGAAAGATGTGATTTGATACCAGATTTCCAAAGGACATTAAAAGGAACTAAATGGAGGGGCTGAGGATTTAGCTCAGTGGCTCCGCCGCCTGCCTCACAAGCACAAGGTCCCGGGTTTGCTCCCCAGTACCAAAAAGAAAAACACTACATAGATAATGTATTTGGTTAACAAAATAATATTTTAGCATCTTAAGATGCCTCCAGGCACTGCAAAACTAGGAAATTTCATTATCAGTACAGCTGCCTGAAGTGCAATCTTATCATTATTATTACAGTCTTATTTTACAATTTTTAGATTAACCCTAAAAAGGAAACCCTGGCTGGAGCTCTGGGGTAGCTGAACACAAAGTTCCTGGAGGACAGCACAGCCAGAGGGCACGAAAGCAGAGTCCTCCTTTCCACATGACTCTCCACCTATGCTGCTCCCTTTGTATCCTTTGTAACAGGCTTTAAACCAGTGAACAACCCATGCTGAAGAAGCCCTAGGTCCCTGAGAAAAGCCATTCTCTCAGCAAAGGTCAGAAGCTCAAGGGACAAACAGAAAAGCCAAAAACCTCTTAAAAATTTCCATTTAGAGCTGGCATGTGCTATATCATTTCCGCCCATAAACACTGGTCAACTAGCCACGTCCAAAGTCAACGGGAGGGAAAGTACACTCTTATTTACAAAGAAGCCATAGTAAGGAAAGAGAAGAATGAATTGTAAACAAATGACATTATCTAACACAACTTTCCAGTAATAAAGAGTCAAATCAGTTCTGACACTGGCTACCCAACAGACTAATGAGGTTACACAACCGCAGTCCTGGTGGTCTATGTAGCTAAGGGTAAAATAAAAGAGTAAAGACTCTTCTAGTAAGATTTACAAAATGCGGCAAAAGAGGACAATCCCTATCTTTTTCATCATGAAGCTGTGAAGATGTGATTTATGGACTCAACCATATCCAAAACCTAATTTCTGTAATTACAGAAACTGTAGTAGACACGTGGAGATTAAAAAAAAACAAGTTTTGATGGTTTTAAGATCCTTTATTGTGTTTACCATTCCTACACTTGAAGTTTGGTTATGTGAACTAATAAAAATCCCCTTTCTCTTTTTTTTTTTTCTGGTGGGGGGGTACTGGGATCGAACTCAGGTCCTTGAGCTTGCACAGCAGGCGGCAAAACCAGTGAGTTAAATCCCTGGCCTAAAAATCTCCTTTCTCTTGAAAAGCAACTTAACCTTCCTTTACTATTTCTCAAGAACCTTTTCTGTTTAACCGCTAAAACTGCTAAATTAGCCCACAGTCAGCAGGCCAATATATTGCCTAGTCCTACCCCAATAAATGCCTAGTGAATAAGTAACAAATGATATAAGACTTATCTAGGTCACATTTCAGGAAATCAAGAAAAAATGGTTCCCACATAAAAACATCAAATTCATTTTTACTAGTACTGGGAGGTTTTCACTTGATTATTTTTTAAATACATTTCAACAATTTGGTTTCTCAGCTTCCATATAAGATCAGAATACAAATGGGAAGGAGCTGCTCCTAGAAAGCAATTGAGAACGAGTAGTAGACGCAGGAGACGAAGATTTAGTCAGCATACAAATTTAAAAACATCTAAGGCCAAATCTAAACTATGTCACCGTGTCACTATGCACCTTCCCCGCCCCTCTCCTTCAGTACCTGGTGAATTGGAGAAGGGAACATTTGTGCTGTCTGAGACATGAGAACTTTTCTCTCAATTTTATGACAATTTTAACAATTTGCCTACATTTTGAGTGTAAAGAACATTTCATTCGTAATGAAACTGTGAGCATTTCCCGACGGCTGACTTGATCTTCAGCATCTAGGCGTTGTTCCGAGTACTGAAGAGGAAGCTGAGGTGAGGGAATTGCCAAGACTAACTTCAAGGTTACGGGGCAAATGAGTGAGCGGGGACCAGAATCCTCTTACCACGTCTTCGCACAATAAAACACTTTACAGACGGCGATCTTTACATCGTGGAACCTGACAGGTGGCTCCGGCTCCCTCATTCAGCCCAAATCCTCCCTAAAACATCTAAATGATTCTGAGACCCGTTCCCAAAACGTACCCCGAAACCTCGCGTCCAACCTTAAGTGAGATTTCACACGAACACCAGCTCCTAACCAGAAGTCCCGCGCAGACAAAGGACGCCCCGCGCTCCCCGAGGCGAGGCCAGGCCCGACCCGGTGGGCGGGCGGCGGTCTCCGAAGCAGAAGCGGTGCGCGTCCTTCGCGCTCCGGCCACGACCAGAGAGCCAAGCCGGCCGAGCCCCGGCCCCGGCCCCGTCCGTCGCCCTCGCCGCAGCCCGCCGCCCGCGCAGCGTCCCGCCCGCGCCCTCGCCCCCACGCGCACCCGGCTGGCCCACACCTAAGCCCCGCTCCGCGGCCCGGGCAGTCCTCACAGCAGAGGCCCAGCAGTCTGCGCTCCCCGCCAGGCGCGTCGAACTCTACCCACCGGGCTGCAGAGTGCCGGATCCGGATCCGGCTTCAGCGCAACCCCACCTCCTGCCCTAGCAGCGCCACAGCGGGGAACCGCGGCCCAGACAAGGCAGGGCCTGGACGAGGCGGGCCCACACCTCCGCCCCGCCCTCACCGCTCTCGCGGGGCGGAGGCTGGAGGGCGACGCGGCAACCGCGGGCTCGGGGCTCTGGGCCGCGGGGCGGGGCTCGGGGCTCTTGGGCCGAGCTTAGGGGCGGGGCCACACGTGTCAGCGCTCGGGGGCGGTGGCGGCGGCACCGGAAGTCCGCCCACCGGAAGCACGTCCTCGCGGACCAGGACTTTCGCCGCGTCAGTCTCCGTGTGACGAAATAAATCTACCTGGGAGTCACTCACTGAGCAACGTAAGTGGTGACCAGCGTGAGTCTTGGGTTCTCAGGGCCCAACGGCGCGGCCTCTTGCCCCTTATTACCTTTTCTCAGATCCTGTCCATCCGTTAGGACCTGCGTTACTTAGTGGCCCTCAGGGCTCCTCGTTGCCAGGAGTTAGGCCTGAGTAACTAACTGTAGGTATCTTGTTATTTTTCAGATGTCTCTTTCATTGGAGTATTTTGTTTCACGATCTGAATTTCATAATCACATTTATTGCTGTTGTCGAGTTTAAGATCAAGAGTTTTGTTACTTTTAAATACAAAAGCTACAATACAATGTGTTTTCTTTTTACTACAACATAAGGTAGTAAGGAATTGGAAAAGGAATTTTCACAGAAATGTGAAAGTACTCTGTAGAAAATGGCTGTTAGCATCATGAAACGGTGAAGCAAAAGTATTGTAGTTAATTCATAGTTGTCTTTATTCCTTGTCCTTCTTGCAGCATTAAATGAAATAAACTTTGATATACTTTTTTTTTTAAAGAAAGCGATATTATAAATGAAAGACGAGAGTTAAGCATGGGGAGATTTATGTGTGCAACTAGTGAATACTGGAATGATAGAAATTCCTGGAAAGGAAATAAAAGGTTAAACCTGGGAGAAATCTAAGAACTAGTCAAACTTTTTGTGGTATTTATTATCACATGATGGATTCAAGTTTTATTGTTTATTCCTTCAAAGATGGCTCATTTTCTCCTAGACACTGTGGCTTCAGACTGCTGTAAATAGTGGCCAGTAGCTGCTGCTCAGAAATCAAGTTTTTGTTTCCAAGCAAAAGAAACCAACTCTGGGAAGATAGTTTACAGTCTGGTAGAGTAGTAGGGTAGAGAAACAGGTTCAGAAAATGTTAAAGCTCCCTATGAGAATATAGGCAGCTATGAATACAGTCACAGTTGTGCTGTGGCAAATAGCTTGATTAGATTGCCATCCCAGAGTACTTACCAACATAGCATTGTACTCAGGTGACATGCATGTCACCCAGCTGTGTGATGTCTAGGACAACTGATATTTTAGCCTTTCAGTTTCCTCCTGTCAAAGAGTCATACAGGGGAGATAGATATTTTGTAAATGAGAAGGGAGCCAAGAAATGGAAGGAGGGGAGAGGGAGAAGTAAAGAATTAGGATGTGTTGTGTATATGTACCAACTTTCCACAGTGAATGTAATCATGTACTGCAAACATGTAGTAATAAAAGTAAAAATTTTAAAAAAGAGTCATGCAATGTGGAGTTCCCAAAATGGAGACTTGGATCCTGGGTAGCCAGAACAACTACCTATGTACTTGATCATTACACCATGTTGTTATGCCATATATATTTTATTTAATATAATTGAATATGCAAAACAAAATATACATTTAATAAAGACATTTTAGTGATAATGTATGGGAGACTGGGCCACGTGATCAGCTGCAGATAATGGAGGCCTTGTTGACCTCTGGGGCACAGCCGAGGGAGTGGAAGGTTGCTCCCTCCTTTGTTTGTGTACAGGGATACTCACACCCACAATACGCCCAAGGGCCGAACAGTCAGCCATGGGCTAAACGAGTTGTTACGTTCCCATTTAATCATCTACAATTCTTCGTTCCTTAAATCATATATTTGCTACATTGCCTTGTTCTAATAAAAATGGGACTTTCCAGACTCCCTGAGCTCTCGAGGCAGGGGTCCTCTGGTCCCCCTTGTTTAGAAATTTGTCTTTGTTTCTTTATTCCATGTTCATGCCCCCAGGTCAGTTTGGAGGCTGGCTCCTGCACTTGGTGCAAGGACAGGGACCTGAAGAGGGGGAGTCCCACCAGAGTGGGGAATGTGACAAATGATGGGAAATCCTGCGGGGGGGGGGGCGGGGGATGCCAGCTGGTAAAAGTGAAAGTAACTTTGGAAACCAGGGCTATGGGGCAGAATTTATCTGTTGAAGAACAGTGCTATGTACAGCTGCTCAAAATGCTCTTAAAGCAAGCAGGAGCACAGGTTAGCACTCAGTCTTTGTCAAAAATGTTACAAGAAATCATTAAATACAACCCTTGGTTTCCCCAAATGAGATATTGATATTAGATATTGATAATTAGGATTGGCTAGGGGAAATCTTAAGCGAGCCCATTGACAAGGAGCCACTATTTCTCCTAAGACCTTTTCAGCATGAAGACTTGTGCACATGGTCCTGGGACCTTTGTTTACCAATGCTGCCTAGAACCCTACCACCACCCCCCAAGGAAAAAATATGTTTCAAAGAAGACTCTTGGCCCTCTGGACCCCCAGATTGCTCTGAAGATAAAAGAAAAAGGTGCATGTCCCCTTATCAGTGATGAGTGGGACAGGCTGGTCTAAGCAGGGACCCATTAGGTACCTGTGCTTTTTCTATCACCCTGACCCTAATAAATTCCCATCACCTGATCCATGAACATAATCCACTGGAATATAAATTCTTGAAAGAATTGAAACAAAGTGTATTGAATAATGGAGTCCAGGGTCCTTTTACACTGGGCCTTTTAGAATCCATCTTCGATATCTTGCATATGGCCCCCTTGGATATTGAACATGCAGCTCGCACTTGTTTCTCAGCAGGGCAGTGTCAACTTTCATGTGAGTTTTCGAGAATTGGCTAATGAACAGGCTGGTCAAAATTGATCTGCCGGGTGGCCTGGAATTAATGAGGACATGCTTTGGGGAACAGGCCCCTATTCTAATTTAGGACAGCAATTAACTTATCCTGATGAGGCCTGTCAACAAATAGCTTTAATGATGAAGAGGACTTGGAGCACCATACTGGAAAAAGGTACTCAGGTTCAATCTTTTCTGTTCTGGAGAACCATACGCAGTTTTTGGCAAGGCTTCAGGAAGCTGTAGAGGCAAATTCCTCATGCTTAGGATGCAGAAGTTACTATTTTACAGCTGGCTTTTGAAAATGTCAATAAAGATTCTAAACAGGTGGTGAGTGCAGTTAGAGCAACAAAAAGCTTGGATAATTACCTTAAGGCTTGTGAAGATGGCACAGAAAACTGTAAGTTCTTTATTGGCTCAAGCCATGTTAAGTCTCACTAAACAAGGAAAGAAAAATTTATCTGTGCAGTGTTTCAGTTGCAGGCAAATTGGGGATATTAAAAAGTGTCCTGGTCCTGCCAGAAAAGGGATAACCATACCCCCTCCCACAGAAGAGAAGGCTCCTGCATTATATCCCAGATGTGTCGAAGGGAATCACTGGGCAAAGAATTGCTGTCTCAAATATCACATGGATGGAGCTCCTCTGTCGGGAAACAGGAATCGGGGCCAGCCCTGGGCCCCTCAAACAACAGGGACATTTCCAATTGAAGCACTCAGCACCAATACCCAGTGGACATCTAGCGGGGCATTACATTCTTCACCTTTGGGACCCCTGGAAGCGCAGGACTAGATCTTCCTGCCACTCCCTTACTGGGGGAGACTGACTTGTAAAAATTCATACAAGGATATGGGGGCCCCTTCCTGAAAGGACAATGAAATTAATAGTTGTAAAGAGCAGGCTCAGTTTACAAGGGGTAGCAGTGATCCTCAGGTAATTGAGATTATACTGGTGAAATTCAGGTTGTAACACAATCCGTGAATGTTTGAGTTTTGAACTGAGAGATTATGTAGCCCAACTCATATTACTGCCAACCACTTCCCTGCTGCATATTGTGAGTTGAGAACGAGGATTTGGGAGTTCTTCACATTGGGAAATTTATTTTACTCACGAGATCACAGATAACAGGGCTGTGTGCAAAATTAAGATTAAAGAAAAATATTTTCAAGGACTCATGGACACTGGAGCGGATGTCTCTTTAATCACATCTCAGTGGCCTTCATTGTAGCCCACTAAACCAGCTGTTACTTCTTTAGTGGGACCAGGATTCCCCCAACAGGTGTTACAGGGTGCTTCCCTATACCTTATGCAGGACCAGAAGGGAAAACCAGAGTGTTCCAGCCTTATATTGCACCTGTCTCAATTTATGGGTTAGGGACCTACTGAAAGATTGGGTAATGTATTAGCCTCACCAATGAACCTCATGCCTGGGGAGCATGTTATGATACAGATGGGCTACAGACCAGGAGAAGGGCTAGGAAAAAATCATCCAGGGATTCCTGAGCCCCTGATGATTACTCCAAAATTAGGTAAGAACGGAATCTGCTGTCAGAACCATTTTTAGTTGGGGCCGTTGGTGCTCTCCCCCCCCATCCAGTACTTCTCTTCCTTGCAGTGGCACACAGATCCCTCTGTGTGGGGGGATCAGTGGCCCCTGTCTAGGGGAAGCTCCAACACTTTCATGAATTAGTCCAGCAACAACTTTCCTTAGGACACGTTGAGCCCTCAAGTAGCCCTTGGAATACCCCTGGTTTTGTGATTCCTAAAAAAGATAGGGAAAATGGAGATTATTACAGGATCTGCATGTGGTCACTGCTTGCCTAGTGCCTATGGGGACTCTAACCTGTCCTGCTTTCTCCCACTGCTGTGTCCCGTGAATGGCCCTTAATAGTTACTGACTATGGATGATATACCCCTGTCCACCTTGGATAAAGGGGAATTAGTGTCGTTGTTTGGGGACACCAAAAAATACTTAAAATCTAGGGACCTAGCTGGGTGTGTAGTGCACGCCTGTAATCCTAGCACTTGGGAGGCTGATGCAGGAGGATTGCTATGAGTTCAAGGCAACTCTGAACTACATAGTGAGACCCTGTCTCAAAAAAAAGTCTAGGCAGGGCCAGGGATTTAGCTCAGTGGTTTTGCTGCCTGCTGCGCAAGCCCCAGGACCCAAATTCGATCCCCGGTACCAAAAAAAAAAAAAAGTCTAGGGGCCTTTATCTCACTCAAAACTAAATATGGATCATTGCTTCTTATCAATATTTAGGCAGTATAATGTCAGCAAGGATGATTAGGAGCTCTGACTAAAATACAGCTGCTAGAACAAGTTCAAGGACACCCTGAGCTACATAGCAAGACCCTGTCTCAAAAATAATAAAAATG